ATGGCAGTAGGCGTCGCGCCGCATGACCGACTCTCAGAGAATGGTTAGACATGCGAGGCAGCAAATTCGCTTTGCTCCTGGTAAGTCACTGAAACTTCTATTACATACATATATATATATATATATATATATATATATATATATATATATATATATATATATATGTGTGTGTGTGTGTGTGTGTGTGTGTGTGTGTATATATATATATATTGGAACCTCAATCTCCATGCATCATTTTTGTCATTTTATTAAAATTAATGTTTTTCATACCGTTTTTATCAGTACCCTTTCAACTGACTGTTTTATTTACCAACTTATCTACTCTATATATTTCTAAAATATATACCCAATCTGATAATCACTGTCTAAATTTCTCATATAACAAGATATAATTGCAATTTAGGGCTTATTTTCTAATAGCATCTCTTCTGATTAGATGCTTTATTCATCTGAATATCCTGTATAGCTTTAGGATTTGTAAAGATATAATTATTGATTATTTGAAAGACAGAATATGTCACCTTTAAGCTTTGTATTAAGAAAAATAACAAATAAAAAACAAAAATGTCCAAGTGTCTCATCAAAGAATCATCCCCCAGCCTTATACATGGAATAGTTCCTCATGAGATTAACAATACAATTTTATTCTAGTCAAACAAAGTAGGATAAAAGTAGAATTACTGTACATGGCAGTTATGTGGTTGAATCATAAATAATTTGTTTTTTTAGGAATCAAGTGTAATCATGAATGTATCATCCTAACAAAGTATTCTTTATCATGCTGCATGGGAGAAAGGTAATGTTGTGCATGTGGTGTGATTGGAATATTATTCATTTAGAATTTTTAACATGCAATGAAACACAATGCAATGTCCAGCAACTGGAGCATGTCCATAAATGTTTGGACAAAAAAGTGTCGCATGCTCTTCAATAGGACAAATGTTTTTCTCCTCCATGATAGCCTAAAGTTGCATACAGCAAGAATAACACAGGAAAAAAAAATTGGAACTCAGTAGGTCTGTTCTACCCCACCTGCCATATTACTTGATGTTGCACCAACTGATTATTACCTTCTTTGATTATGGAAAAACATTTTGATGTAGGGAAAAACTTCCTCTAATGAAAACCAGAATCAAAAGTTTGTTGAAAATGTTCACATCAAAACCTGTGGAATTTTACTCAAAATATATCAAAGAGCTACCTGATAAGTGGCAACAAATAATGGTGAATATATAATTGAATGAAAACTAATTGTACTTTATTTTTTCAAGAATAAAGTTGATAAAAAAAAAAAAAAAATTATTTATGACCCAACCTAATAAAAATTAGCCAGCCAAACATCTTCTGCACCATTGCTCAGCACTGTGTTCACTGACTTGGTAACATCCAGCAATGACCTGATGGCCACCCTACCAGTCATCTATCATTTTGAAACTGGTGAAGACCTCATGACAGCTAGAAAGACGTCATCTGCCAGCACCTCCAGCAGATTAATCTGGTACTGAAGGATGTCCTGACATTCTGCCAAGACCAAGTGAGAGCTGAAAAGACAAAGTGGCTCTTGTGGGCTCAATACCTCCATGGCATGACATCTAGCAGCAGCAACCTATTTTTTTTTTTATACAAATTAACTGAGCAAAATTGTGTACATTTGCAACATGCAACCAGCTTTCCACAATGGCATGTAGAGTGAGTAGCCAGAACTGCCCAATAGACAGAATTGGTTTTGGTTTGGTTTGGTTTATTTTATGGCATATCAACCTCAATGGGTTATTTAATGCCGACAACATTTTTAGGATAGATTCATATGAATAGAATATATATTCTTTGGTTTAGATTGATTTGGTTTATTTTGTTTAATGGTATATCAACCTCAATGGGTTATTTAATGCTGACAAAAATTTTTATTGTTGGTAATATTTTGTTTTGTCAAAAATCTGTTTCTGGTAATATATTTCCTTCAAAATTGTATTGCTGGTAATAATTTTTTTCAAAAAAGTATTGCTGGTAATAGTTAACTATTTTCCCATAGCTGGGACCCTAACAGGTGCTACCACCCCGGGTCAGGGTGGATCTGGAAACACCAGCAATTAAGAGGTGGTTCCATGCTCTTCAAAAACTCCTGATCAGAGGCCTTGCTGCTGGATGTAGTTTAACGTCTCACCCAGGATGCGGATGTAGTTTAACGTCTTAATCAGGACACACAGAAAGAATTGACAAAGTTTGCAATAAACAACAAGAAAAAAAAAAAAAGAAAAGAACAGGGAAAAAATAAAGCAAGTAAACAATATATGCATGACAAATAAACAGTAATAGAATTTGGGGTTGGCACACAAGAACAAATTTAAATATGTAAACATCAAGACAACTTCAAGACAAGACAGACCAAGACTGAGTCATATGAAACTGAGAACCAGCTTATTTTATTGGCTAGGAAGAAATCCAAGCATGCATTTGTGTGCTTCTGCCTATAAATTAGGAAGGGGAAAATGTTTTGCATTCATTCCCTATCAAGATTGAAACCAACATGGCTTTTTGTTTATGATATAAAATTTGGGTGAACAAATTTAGTATTTCCAGTCTTTTTTGTCACTTGTTCTTCATTTTTATTTTTAGGTTAGTAACTAAGTCTCCCTGTCCTACCAAATCAGTACTACTAAACTTGCAACTTCCACCTGGAGACAAAGTCTTAAATCTTCTTTTTTCTAAGTCAATAATTAAATAATGTCATCTTGATGTCGGTCAGCTTGCGATTTTCCAGCTATTGTTCCTCTACCCACAATTACACAATGTTTTACAATTGTGCCTCAATTATTACTTCCTGCCACAACCATTTGTCAGTATTGTATATTAAGGCTTTTTAAATATTTTTAAACTAAAAAAGGATAACACAGGTACATTTCAACTGCAGGTGAAACAGGTCAACTAATTAAATTACATTAGCTGAAGGCTATCAGTTCAATATTTGTGCTAGGTAGCAAACCTTAGCCTCCAAACAACATAATTGACACGTTTGTGGTACTTTTTTCTACATTTGTTCTAAGACAAAGAGAGGTAATAAAGGAGCAAGTATTGCTGAAAGCAATAAAATACAAGGAACTGTGGAGAGCCATGTCTGTCATGTGCTAAAAGAAGATCCTACCACAAAGACAAATAAGGGTCAAAGTATTATTGAAAGCAATAAAAAAAATGTTTAAAATAACAAAATATATTTAAAAAATGCCTTTATAGGCAGTTGTAGAGAGCAGTGATTGCGAACATCTTGAAGAGATATGGCACAAAGTTAATAACAAAATAGAATTATATATATGCTATCTGTTCTATGTTCACTTTTATATGAAAAGAAACATTTTACACAAACACATTTTGAAGTAATTTTTCAAGTCCAACTAATGACAAGTAGCCAATAATTTTTTGAGAAATTCCAGTATGATAAATTAAAACAGTTGGTATTAATTCTTGGCCTGTATTTTTCCCTCTGTTTTATCTTTATATCTTCATTTTTATCACAATATTCTACATCAAATACTTTCTAAAGATTACATTACCAAATTGGTTATAGCATCATCCATGAAAAACTTCTGGTATATGGAATGCCAGGTAAGAAGTGATTTCTTTATTTCTACATTACACTATTTTAATGCTAAGAGAGTATTTATCACAGTTGTGATAAAAATCAACAAAAATATGAAGAAACATCAGTTATTAATGAAAATTATTCCATCTTGGAATTTAAACAAACAGAATTTAAGATCAGCCTAAAAGTTCTTTTCATGAATAATCAGTTTAGTGTCACTAAATTCCATAATATAGTGAACGCTATCAATTCTGACATCTTTTATGCCTCACTTTTTTTTTAATTAAATTTTAGTGAGTAAGCTATTAAATCATCACAATGTGTAAACACCAGCTCCTAAGAGGTTTCACAAATTTTATATATTTTCACAAAATATTTCCTATCAAAAATAGGAAATCACATTGTCTTTTCAATATTAAAAAAATATTAAAAAAAAAAACAAACTAAAGCAACAAGTATTTATGTTTTAATTTTTTTATTGTTTAAGAGTCAAATTGCACTATTGAAATTAGTATGAAATCAAAATTTACAAAAATTACAAGGCAGTAATAAAAAGTTCTCATCCCAAATCAGAAATCTTTCTACCAAAATCCTGTTTGGCCAGATTTTGAGAAGTTGTTCAGATCGAAAACATTTTAGCACCCCCTCATTATTCATTCTCACTTAAATGAAAACTGCAAGCACACACACACACACACACACACAAACAAATGAATGAAAAAAAATAAAAAAGGCTGCTCTAAATGGGTAGGATTTCTCAACTCACTAAAAGCTGATGTGCTTGACAAAAAAAAAAAATAAATAAATAAATAAAAGAATACCACTATTGTATTCAATTCAAACCAGTTTTGTACATCATTTAATGATGGTGAACAACACTAAAAAGCAAATTAAAAAAAATTAATTTTTTTTTTAGACAATGCTTTTATAGTGAATAAGTTACTGTTCAAAAGTTCCAAGTTGGAACCTTTTCTCAAAATCTGAGCAGATGAACAAACATTAGTTTGTTTTCTAGAAGAGAGGAGGGAGAACTTCTTGGCTAAACCAAGAATTACTTTTTAGCACCTTCATATCAATAGAGAAGAAAAAACATTTACTCCACTTAGAAATGTGTTTCTCATGAGAATACAAAAAAAAATAATAAATAAGTGTTTAATTGATTGATTCATTTTCTACAGCTTATCAATCCTTTTCAAGTTATTTAAAGCCAGGAAATATTTTTAGAATAAGAATTTTTTTTTCTTATAGTGATAATGGTTTAGTGATACAAGTCTTACTAATTAATTCATAGCTTGGGGGGGTAGTGGAGTCATAGCTTTTTCAAGATTATTTGCACATAAGCGAATATAATGAACTCAACTGGAATTGGAACTTGCTCGCAGATTAACAATTCTGAGCCATTATCCATTACATCACCCACACATCCAAGTATTCCCAAGTGGTCACCCATCTAGATAATGACCAGGCTTGATGTTGCTTAACTTTGGTGATTGTATGGGAACCAATGTTTCAACACGATGTGGCCATAAGCCAATAAATGTTTAAGAAACATTTGACAGAATGAAGATTTTATATTTTATTGCTTCTTTGTTTTTTTTTCTTTGGTTCACTCTGAAGTTTTCCAGGAAATCACTAAGTAGCAATTAAACCAAAGTCTCACTGCCTGAATTTTATTTGAATCCTCTTTACATATCAATAGTATGTAACAATCTAACATTATCAAGTAAACAACAACACTAACAACAGAAAGAATTAAAAGAAAATCTGCTCCATGGCAAACTTCAAACATGTTTTGTTTCAAACTCAACAACAAACATGAATCTTTAGAAATCTTTTAACCAAAATTATCAGATTTCTTTTTATTTTCAACTACAGAACATTCACAGGTATACAAAAAAGTCTGTTTGAAACTTTTTCAGGCTGTTTTGAAGATCTCAAGAGCCAACTGTACAACCTTGATGTAATTTGGCAACCAATCAGAGGGAATCTTATAGTTTATGGTATACAGACACTTACTTACTGAGTTTACTCAGTCTCAACTGAATGATATTGTGTAACATCACATTCACAATGACTGAGCAAGTAGATTCATTGCAATAATACACTTGCCCATTCTTTACATCCCCTGCATAGTTTATAAACAAATTAATATACATTTTTTTCTCTGTTTGGTACAACTGAATTTCATGCAGCAATCTTCAGGTGAGAAAAAAATATATATTTATCAATAGTATAAATTTTAGCTCTGTTATTTTACATTGAATATTTTTATTAGCACCAAAACTCATTGTGCAATATTTTATACTTACTCATACACACATATGTTTAGGAATGAATTTTTCCTCTATTAATTTGAGTTTTATTGCTTATGGGTTTAGGTTTGAATCCTGCCAAAGAATGCATATTTTTTTAATAATATTTCTCGAATGTTCAGGCCAGTAGATGAAATAAATAAATATACCATTTAATAAATAAAAACTGAACATCTACTCAAATATGGGTATCTACTAAAAATAATGTTCAAGCAATAAAGAGTGTGTGTGAGAGAGAGAGAGAGAGAGAGAGAGAGGTCTACCCAGAATGCATCCAGCCATTTTGAATATCTCAAGACCCAGTTGTGCAGCCTTAATGTAACTTGGTAATAAATCAAAGAGGACCTTACTATTTATGGTAGACAGACACTCTCATGGGTTTACTCAGACACCATTGAATGGGTATGTCTACTGTCACATTCACAATTACTGAACAAGTAGATTCATCACAATAATGCAATTTCCCATTCTTCACATTTCATGCAGAGGTTTTTGCCAAAGCATCACACAAGATTATTTACACGCTTCGGACTGTTGTCCTCATCTTTTAGTGTAAATGATTACAATACCTTATCTCAGAAATATGGATACATTACACAGGATGTTAATCCCACTACAATCCAAATTTGACTCCTTCTTTGCAACTTCTGGCTTTTCCCAATGCTAAAATTGCTCTTAAAAGAATACTTCAGATTTTATACAAGATCAAAGAGAATACAATTAGGCATCAATTTATCTCAAAAGATGACTTTGCAGATTGTTTTGAAAAGTGAAGAGAGATTGTTATAAATGTTTGAGGTCGTAAGCTGAATTTTCTGAAGTAGCCTAATAGTGCTTATTGCAAGAGGTAGGCTTTTTTGTTGTTAATATTAAATGCCTTGGTATGTTCTGAATTGACCTTGTACAAATTCACCTTAATACTTATACTTCAAAAATATAAAAAGATTGAGAGTTGTGATCAGCAAAATAGTTTTTGAAAGTCATTACAGTAATTCTAGTTTAATTTTCATTGAATGTTCTAAACTTGTAACCTTGTACCAGACTTAAGCTAATATTAAAAAAAAAATAAACATAAACAATGGATGATCAAGTGAAATTTTAGATCAAGATTCATACAGGCACTACATGTACAGCAGCCACAGTAGAAATGGTGTTTCTTAGCCTGAGTATCTCCAGGCTGGTTTGAATTCAGAGTTTTCCTTCTAGACCAGTTGCCAAAGATGATAGAATCCAGTATGTCCTGCTATTACCCATAGCAGGGAAAAGAAGAGATGGATTCATAGCTTTCCAAAGGGTCTTAGCAATGTAATGAACTCAACTGGAATTCAAACTTAGCACAGATTCCTCAATCCAAGCCAGAATCCATTACTCCACAAATTTTATATACTGTGACAAATTCATAATATATTTTCTATACGTTATGAAATCATACACTACTATTTTTTTAGTTCTTAAATCTTCTATATGCCATGTCCCATCAGGAAGTCTGTGATTATGGCTCTCCACAACTTCCTATTCTTTGTAGCTCTGAGCAATACTTGTCTTTCTACTATTTCTCCAACTCCCTGTTCTGCTATCCATTTACAAAAACTTGTTAGGTTGCTTACTTGTTGTTTCCTCTCTGTCCCTCTTGCCTTTAATATATCATGTGAGTATCAAATTCCCCAAGTCTTATTTCTTCATGTGTCCTAAAAATTTAAACAGCATCTTTCTATTTTAAGTATAATTGTTTTTTGTTTCTATTTTCCTTAAAATATTATTTACTTACATTCATACATTTTATAATTTATAAATTATTCTAACTCAAGAAATATTCAGTAATCACAAAAGGAATACAAATGAAAATGAATTTCATTATATCTATACACCATAATTACAATATAGATATGTAAAATGTATATACTAAATATAATTTTGATTCAAAAACCACAAAATACTGTTTTAGTATTTTTTTTTTTACTTTGCTATTTGTATATTCATAAAAGTGAAAAGAAGTCAGTAGATAGTATATAAAAAAAAATGTCCACATTTTTTTTTTCAAAAGTCTTCAGATATTTCACCATTTTCAAGACCCAAGACCTTAATAAAGAAATAAAAATAAAGAAAAAACTATATATGCATAATTTGTCTATGTTAAAGAATTTTAGCTATAGGATATTTTGTAACAAGATTGGAATTGTTCTACTGAAGAAATTTTAATAAAAGTCCTCAGTTGTGATATTGGTTATATCTGACAATGAAAATGACAGATAGGCAATCAGATTGTAATCACATCAATACAAAAAGATTAAAATCATTTTCAGAAATTTAGTCATATTGACAGATATCTGAAGAAGGCCGGAGGACACAATGACCAAAACATTGTGATAATAACAAGAAAAAGGAGGATGTAATAGAATGTAAACAATGTAAATAAGGTCATTTTATCTTGTTTTCCACCCGAGAGAAATACAATTTAAAAGAAATAAAAACTTATTGAAAATACTGGATAGGCCCTTTTTCTTTTTTTAAATGAGGTTTTCATAAAGGTTGAAAAAGAGAAAGTGTTTTTGATTACATGAAAGCTGAAAAGCAACTTTTATTAAAACAATAGAAAAATCAATTTCTCAAGATTTAAATCTTCTCTTTATATTGGTTTCTGATATTTTCCTCTAACCTCCTCATGTATTTAAAACTATCAAAATGTCACTATAAATTCAGAATATTACAACCATATTCAATATGTAATTAGCTTTGATTTTTCTTCTTTGTTACATATGACTTTTCTATTATCAATTTTTGAAGATTAATAAAAAAAAAAAAGGGGGTAGATATATGTAAAATACAAACAACTGAAATCCCATAAACCATGTGTGCACATGTGAATATACATTTCAAGTCACTTGTGTCAATATAAAAACAATACAGTCAGCATAAATAACTCATGTAACAGATACAGAATATTATCAACAAAAATAGAATAGAGAAATAAACTTACCATGATCGAAAAATTTAATCTATCATCGGCAAGATGCAATTTAACACTTTGACCACTACATAGCAAAAGTAACTCCCCCTAGATACAGAAAAGTGATGAGCACCAACTGACCACAGTTAGTCTTAAACTGCCTGAGTTGACATGTAACAATACAGCAGTGAGGTGCTGAGGCAATCCCCCCACCAATAGAAATCATTAAGACAGAGTACTTTGTTATTTACATAACACTACCACCAACATGCCAACTCTTTACTCATACACTTGTCGTTCCTGCTTGTCTTCCAACCACCAATACTATTGTTACTGCTACAACCGGGTCTGCAGCTCATACAACAACCTGTAGATTACAAACTAATGACATACAACTACTAAATATAGAACCAAGTTTTCTTTCAAGAAGAAAAAGAAAAAATGCATGATTTACATATACTGACTGTGATTGAGAGGGTTTTATGCAATGCTTTGAAGAAATCAGAGGTTAAAACAAACATTCTAGAAATGAGTATGCTAGAATCAAGAGATGCTAAATTCTAGACCAATAAACCAGGAGAAAGTTTAGATCTATCCACAACTTGTATACAAGGGGTCAATTAATTGGCATGAGGAACAATCGAGATGATCTGAAGTTGTTTGCCCAAAGGCCTTAAAAACAGAACAAATGACAAAGCCAATGCTGTCTGAATTTTAATATTTAGACATTGCATAAATCTTATTTCAAATTCATACATACAAGTTTTTACATGTTCATTAACATGAAAATGACTAAGTAATTCATTTATTAATCCATATTGTGTGTAAGAAAAGTAAAATTGTATATAAAGCATGTCGAGCCATGTCCAAGTTGGCTGTATGCCAGAGGAAAAAGAAAAAAGAGAATCATTTTGATTTTCAAGGAAAACTACTATGCTTCATTATAGAATTATTATTATTATGCTTTGATTATTAATAAAAGCTTATATATCAAAATAAATTTAAAATATTACAATTATTAGATCTCAGTAAGTTTATGTTTTACTTCCATTTCTAAAAATTTTGAAAGAAAAAAACAAACATATATAATATATATATATATATATAATATTATCAATACCGAAATCCGCTACTCAGAGTTTCATATAACAATCATCAGGATTTCTGGCTGCTGATTGTTGCTGCATAGCAGATTTTGGTATTGATAATATTATTATATTATATTTAAGCTTTGAGCCCTCAGTTTATTATATATTTTGAGCTTTAGCC